TAACACTGCGTTTCATTCTTATGAGTCACGCAACCAGCGCCTTTTCGAGGGGAGAGGTAATATGCGAGGCGATCCGGCGCGTAAAAGTACAACGCCGTCTCGCGGTTCTGGTCACGAATTCCAGTGTCCCCCACTGCTCGGTTATGGTCCGTGAGGTCGCGACCTGTCTGACACGATCTCCTACCTAACACTATATGGTTGTTTGGTCAGTGTAATGTCAGGTGCAATGAAGTCTTTGTTCTGAGGACTCTAGGCCCCAGCAATTGCGGATCTAACATTCCCATCAACGAGTAAGGTTGATGAGCCAAATTGGTGGTTGGGACGTCCTGGAGAGACCATCGGAGCTGCTTTTCCGCCCAACACAGCAAAATTGTGACTGGATGTATAAAGCATTGGTGAATTTGACCACTGTTGATAATGGATCCAGGCATTACAGTGCGCACAGCAATCGGAAACCAACTGCAACCAGGAAATTTAAGAGTTGACCGAGAACGTTGCTGAGCAGCATGAGATAATGACGCAAAATTGCGATCGCTGGTACTACGGCGAAGCACTGTTCCAGCTCGTTCGAACCATACGTGCAGAAAAGACCAGGTAAGTAGGATGGACAGCAGATCCACACACCTCACATCTGCTGGCCGTGACGTTTGGGGAGTAAGACAACCGACCTCCTATTTTGCCATCCCACGCGCAAGCACCTAAACACAAAAGAAGTACTGGTGTCTCTTGACGCAACATAGAAGGAAGCGAACAGATATTTTCGTTAGGGAAGAGGAACAAGGGACAACTAGAACAGTGACCAGTACGACACCGCTGCGACCCAGTGACAATCATGAGTTCCCAATCGGTGAAAGTCAAGTCGGCCTCGATTGAGACACAGTTTGAATTGAAGAGACATTCACAATTCGACAAACGCTGCAGTAGCATCTAACAAATGGATTGCTCGCCATTAGAAGCCTTCTTTATTTGAAGGTTTCTCGCAATTTAATTAGTCGTCCCTGTGGGCTAATGAGAAGCAGCCTATAGAGATAAACCAATTTAAAATCTATATAGAGTGGATTCCGAAGCCGTATGCAGCAGTGGGAAGTGAACCACTGCATTTACCAGGACAAGCTTACAGTGCAAGAGCATCCATGTCGCTGTTGTGATTTCGGATTTGCCACTGTGTGCTTGGATTGCGAGAAGCAGTCACAAATTGGACCACAATTTACCTTGAAGTAAACCCTGATTATTTCGGACACGGGGACCGCCTCCGAAGCGGAGAGCTCTCACTGTTACATGCTGCTCTTAAGTCCGCACTTTACAGCCAATTCAACTTTGGGCTGGACTCTCCAGGTGGGAGATGGGCGTGGAATCCGGCACCTAGTGGTTACTGGTTGACGCCTTGATCATTGAATCGAGAAACGCTTCGATTAAAGAGCATCCACTTCCTTTCCTATCATCAACCGTGGTCGAAATCATCTCAAACGAAGCTATTTTGTCTACCTGGAATGGCTAATCAGTGAGAGAGCGCCAGGCTCGAAGCGCAGGATTGAGTTAACTCCCCGGAATCCAGAATTACTGAAAAGTCACCACGGCTGATTGGAGGATCATTTTGAAGTACTCGTTGCGTGATTGGATTGTGACGCGTAATCTCAATGTGGACTATGATTCGCACTGGAGTGGAACTTTGGCCAAATCGATCACCAGGATCGTAACTGAAACGCATGGAATTTGGGTGTTGCCCGCCCAAAAACACTGCAATGCACTACGGCTGTTGATTAGGATCACATATGACACTATTCCAGAAAGGAGCAGCTACCCAACCGATTCTCCCTAGCTACAAGTGATCATTCGGCGTGGCCGATCCACTTACCCAAACTGGTCTATGCATCGTCTCTGAGCGGATAATCACGTAGAACAATCACTGCACAAAGCTCTAGGGCACGTGTGGCTTTTCAGTCTCCGAACAATTCTACTGCGGCAAAATGAAATAGTTATGCTCAGTGAAAAGTGTAATGTTGCAAGCTGTACAGCAGAGGTGAGGCCATTGCGTAACAAGTGTGTCACGAGACTGGCCGTCTCTGACCCCCGGTGAGTGCAGCATCTCCGGCATCTGTCCAGACTGTCAAGAGTAACTTCAACTTATGCTTGGTGAAGAAACGACTAGTGCTTGCTACTCTGGATGGCTCGCTTCAGCATGCACCACTTAATATTGTTGATGGAGGACCCAAGATGACTGACAATTGATATAAAAAGAGCGTGAAAATGGTGAGCAAACGGCTTGAGTTGGCTGTTGCTTGCCGTCTTATCACACAAGAACCTCGGGATAAGGAAATTCAGATAGCTTATTCGATCCGACGCTATCGGTGGATAGCATTACCTTCATACTACACCTCATATATTGTGTCGCAACCTAACTCAATAGTACGGTTGTAAAACAGACAAAAATAGTGTTGCTTGTTTCATTAGAATGAAACTGTTGCTGGAGGAGGAGGAGGAGGTTAAGCGGAATACGTATAGGCAAAGGAACTCACAATACAAACAGCACTAATAACGACTCCTCGCAAGGTCAACATTTCTCTGCAACTAAACGTCCTTCGTGCTCCAACCAGGGAGTCGAGAGGTTCCAATCGAGGCTACCGTGGAAGTGGAGATCTTTGTTCTTCCTGACCAAGCCATTAATTGGCATCCTCGCTTCCATGTACACTATGGTCGTGCAAACGCACGCCACTAGAGTCGGTGTGTTGGTATGCTTAACACATGACACAGCACTATCGGGGTTTGGTGCGAGAAACAATGGTGCTGAGCGGTCCATTTCCTCTACCAGAGCCATAAACAAGACGCCGAACAAGTTCACTGCTCACGCAGTGTTCCAACCAGATGAGACCTAAGCTGTAAAGGCAATGGTGATCGAACGCGTCCGACCTTAAGTAAGTCGATCAGACAGACAATGTCTAGCAACGGTACAGGAGAGCTGAATAGACAATTGCGTTGTAGACACTGTTCTTCAGAGCGGTAGTGAAGTTGCGCCGGTGGCACAGGTGGTAAACATTAGCAAAGTTGCCTCCAGCTTTTGCCACACCGTTCGGAAATTCCCCTTCCATACCAAAGGCGCTGATACAGCTGTTTAGATAGTTGCATTTCTGAACGGCACCTAGCTGATCCTCACCACGGTTCAGAGTAGTCAACACGTTCTCTCGATGCTTTTTACGGTTCACATTGCCTACTTGGTATGTGTATCATCAGTGTTCCTTAGGGCTTAAAGTATTACGGTCAATCTGATGACATTTAAACAGTTAGTTCCCTTTAGTAGTTTGAACAACGAAATGAGAAGACGAATATTGGCAGATGCTAGCATTTCGTATTATCTCGTCAGTACCAATACAATAATAGGGAAATCCTTTTATATGTCTTACAGGGCACAGTCAAGCCAATCAAATTTATGGTTATGGTCATTGTTGTTGCGATTAGGCCCACGGCAACCGTAGGTTGACAACTAATTGCTTTTGGACGCACAAAGCTGGTCTAATTCGGCTAATCGCGACGGCTTCGGCAAATCGTAAAAGGCGTGCGTTAGTATGACGTAACAAGATCCGGAATGCAGATAAGGGATTAACCCGGTGACGAGTCGCCAAGATGTGACTGCCTATGGAGGACGCTGGCGGCTTATGCGAGCACGTATCATCGGAAGTGGATTGAGTAGTTTCGCGCTGAACCCAGTTTGGTAAGTCTTCCTTCACTCCTTAATCTAAAGATCCAGAGTGAAGGAACACTCTAATGTACGCCTTTTACGATTTGCCGAGATTGTCGCGGTAAGCGGAAATAGACCAGCTTTGTGTGTCCAAAAGCAATTAGTTGTCAACCTGCGGTTGCCGTGGACCTAATCCCAACAACAATGACCATAACCATAAATTTGATTGGCTTGACTGTGCGCCGTAAGACATATAAAAGGATTTCCCTATTATTGTATTGGTACTGACGAGATAATACGAAATGCTAGCATGTGCCAATATTCGTCTTCTCATTTCCTTGTTCAAATCTGATGACAGCCGAGACAATTGCATCCCGTACACACTAGTGTTCTGGTCGGAAATGCTATACTGAACTGGATCGAATCGAACCGAAGCATTATCGCAGCAGAGCCTACACAACAGCAGCAGCAACAACAACAATGTCAGATGGCGTTCTGCTCGTGTACCAGTACTTGTTTCCATAACTTCATATCGTATGTTCCATCAAACCCCACATAGTGGCCGTGCCGCCGGTAACGAAAGCTTTTGGTGTTCACATAGCAAACGGAAGCAGAAGGATGGCGCTCCATTGGAGGCAAAAGAGTGAGTTTTCAGTACAGAGAAATCCTGTGACCTATATAGTACTCATGCGAAACAATTCGCAAGTCCACAGTTCAGTTGAGTTCTGCTAAGGCACACAGCACCATTATGACAAAAGAAAGAAAGAAAAACAAGAAAGATCAACCAAAAAGCACAAAGCAAGCATTGTTGAATGTGGGAGTCGAATGTAAGAGTATTGCTGACTTCTTGGCAATACCGTGAACGATAGGGAATGCAAATTCTTTCACGGATGTTGGCACCCACCGATCGGATGTTCGTCCGGGTAGTGTTTGTACACTGTTCCTCTGTGTTCTAGTCTGGGTATTTGGGACTCCATAACCCTCGGTACGCTATCAGTAAACGACATACGCCGAATGTAGCGACTGATAGGCAAGCAGATACTGGAAACTAAGCCGGGATATATACGATTAAAATGCAACGCGGTAACGAACGTGGTGTGCTTTTAGTGTTGACAACAACATCTCGATCAACTAAAGTGAAACTAAGAAAAGCAAACCGTTCATTTTGCCACAATAAATACCTTAGTACTTACGGTACACAGAAAATAAATTAGTAACAGTAGTAAATTAGTGGCGGTAATTAAATAAGTGGGATCAGCCTCAACGGCTGAGCACAAGAAGCTTCAACTGCTATCTGCCAACTGTTGTCAGTGAGCGGATAACTTACTGTAGCGTTGAGTACGTAACGGGATTCATCTCCTCCGTAACGGTCTGCTGAGTTGTCACTTTTATCCTTGGATTCCATAGCTGCCCTGCGTACTTCCGCATCTTTGGACACTGTATCACTACTCCGGTCTTGCCGAGTCTCATCACACTTCTCCGATGTGTTTTCGTACACCGTGGAATCGTCCCGAGGAAGAGATTTCCTGTCCTGCTCCAAAAGTCGCATTACTTCCATTTTGAACTTATCTTGTGTAAGCAAGTCGTTCAAAGATTGCTGCCAGAGAGATACAAAGAGCTTACTCCAATTGCATGAAATGCATGGATCGATTGAGGTTATCGGGTAAGATCTATGTGTTCACTCATGTCATCACAACAACGATAACAGCAAAATAACCACAATACCACTTTATGGGGGAAAGGTAAGAAATGGAATCCGAAACGGAACAGTTAACGGTCAAAAATAAGGAAACGAACGTAAAACCATCGCTGTTTCCGTGGCTGTGCCATATCTGATGAGGTATCCAACCAGTGGTTTTACGATTCCAGAGGTTACATCTGAGAAGACGATAGGAACCAAACCGACACAGCCTTTAGGTGAGTTTCTTGGTGCTCTTCTGTCATGTCAATGACTGGAAAACAATACATGCAGTAGTAGGTTGCTGGCAAGCAGGCGGATAATGTGATCGACTCAGTGGATGCAATTCGGGTTAAACAGTCACTCCAAAGTGAAATCAAATACCAGATAGTGAACATCAGATGTACTTGTTAGGTTCTCCTACCAGCTAGGGACAATATTGCAGAGGCAGCGGCGGTCGAGCGTGCCCACTCTCCCAACGTCCCCAGCGAACCTCAGATGGATGTTATATCTATGCGGTAACACAAGCTTTGAAACCTAACTTATTTAAATCTGTACTTCTCAATGATAACGGATCAGAAAACCCACACGAGCCTTAGTAAGATGTGTAGTAATTCTATGGATGATGTGAAATACAGGGGCGACAGAGCCACTCAGACAAGCAATCGGAGAGACCGTTTCGGGAGGTTGTTTGGCGTTACTGGGAAATGAAGGTGGGCGATTCAGCACTGTAACAATACTTTGCACTTCGCAGGTGTAAAATGTACAGTGTTACTTGCCAGCATTTTCAACGATTGCATAGCATACTCGAGGTCTGATAGCCGATCACCCAGCAGGACATCAAACCGAGGCACACTGCCACACGACAGAGCTGGCCACTGGAGCCAAGAAGGCACGGACAACCATTGAGCTTAGGGGTAACGGCACATAACCTGGGGAATTCAGGCTGGGGGTTGAGAGAAATCGCTCACAACGCTTAAGAGACAACGCTGTTACCAGCCACGCTGGGCAAAAGCGAGCTACAGCAGTAAGCCCGGTTGACACGCTAACAAAGCTGAGCTTAAATTCTCAGCAGTAAGGCGATTCCGTAATGAATCGTATAAAGATACAATTAGTGAAGATGTGGTTAAAAGTTACAGAAAACGCACAAAAGGACACAAAACACCGACAATTACACAATGTACCGGCATTGAGTATGAACAGCTTAGCTGTAGATGAAAGGGACAAAGAAAAGCTAACACCCCTCGGATACAAGGTAGCGTATATCGCGATCCATGCAGTAGCAAAACCACGCAGGACTGCCCTATCGTAATTATACCTCAAACGAGAGCTGGGCATTTAGCGAAGTGATACTGAGTGCACGCATTATGAGCTTGAAAACGCTTTGTACGAATCTGGACGATAATGACATTACGAAATATGCAAAATACTGCAACGTTTGAAAAGCCGTGGTGGGTACTGAATTGAAAGACTGATTTAATGATCTACTGGGTAAGCAAGCCCCCTGTGCGATGGAATAGAACTTACGGAACTCTTGGACAACTTCTCTCGAGATGCAAGTTTCGTCAGGGCGTGTTTATCATCCAACTTAGAGTTCGCATCTTTCTTCGGAACCTCAGGAGTGGAGACTCTTCCCGCTTGCGCAGAAACTGCAAAAAAATTAAACAGTAATATGAAACCGATGTTAGGTTATCATATAAGAAAGTTCACTTATTCGTCAAGTGAGAAGCAGTGACACGAAAAGTGGTAATGCTCTCGATATCAAGTTAGGGTGTATATTAATAATGCGTATTCCAAGCGAAACCCAAGAAAGCAATGCGCATTGTGTGTTTCATGGGTAAGAACTAGGGTGTTCGGTAATAAGTCCGCTTTGGAGGGTATAACAGATTGTAATGCACGAAGAACCGGAGTTTTCAAATGAGAATGACTGCCAATAGTTGGAAACCCCTGACTAGAAGACGAGAGTAATTCCAGTCGCCCAATTAAACGCGCAATGAATGGGAAACTTTCGAATTGACCGGGATGTTTACTCAAATAAATTGGGAATCTCCACTGAAGAGATGACTCACCGAGTTCAAAACAAAAAACAGGCTCTCGAGCCTGGGTCTTTCCTGAAGCGGTCACACACTATAGAAATGTGGCGGTAGCGATTATCGGATCTCAGACACTATATTAGAAAGCGACGCAAAAGTTTTCGGTAGCCTTAAATAGTAAACTAAAAGATGTGATACGACAGCTGAGTAGTTGGCCTACTACAGTCAAACCTGTTATGGCGACCAGTCAAGAACAGCCCCAACGTTTCCTCCTATGAGTAATGCCCCTATGCATGAACCTGTCCATGGCGACGACTTTTTGTCGGTCCCTTGGGTGATCACCTTAGACAGGTATGATTGTATATGGATAATCTTTTCCATGAACCATAAACCAGAGCGGACCAGAGGGGATGTCTAGAATAGAATGTAGTTATTGCGTAAACGCTGAAGTGTTGTATACCGAAACCAAGAATGAGAGCCTGAACCCCTCCCCCCCCCCCCAAAAAAAAAACTGACCGCACAGCCTGACAAATGTACACTAGTCAAAGTGTGCAGTGAAACTCTGCGAGTAAGTGAATAACGAAAGTGTGTAGCATGAAAAATCCAACAAAGCTCAAACACATCCACATTAAAAAGACCGCAGGCCACTCTGTAGAATGTCTGCCGCAAGTACTCGAGCAGCAAGGAGCGGAGAACTGTGAAAATCCGACAGTTTTCTAACACGCGTCCCGAACGCCAGAGAAGGAGCAAGAGGATAAAACGAGCGCTGGCTACACACACGATGAAGAAATATGCCAAACAAATACAGGTAGTACACTCAGCTGTAATCTGACCACCCATACGCGTTACAATATTTAGGTACATCAGGTGATTGGTTTAATCAAAGTTAACAGTCAGTGACTGTGCGATTAACTTTGTCGCTGGAGTGTTAGAGCTAGGAGGAAAACTATGCTGTCCGTTAGCTCTGGTTAGCGGGAAGCGGGTATATCAAATGGTAAACAGTTCACTAACTGACTGTGACAAATCAGGTACGTTCGTTTGATCGATTGAACCTGGCGAGCTTTTCTACTAGAATCGTGCGAATGGCACACCAAGTGATAGAGCGAAAACCGTGCGGTTGGGTCTTTACCGCCATCGCAATGAGGCTGGACTTTACAGTGGTGCGATGGTTTGTGTGCCTCAGTGATCGATTGAGCTATACTGGGTGGTGCTTTTGCACCTTCAGAGCCACTCATACCAGATTGGTCAATTGTTAGAGGCCAGACAAACTCAGCCTCCTGGTCCTCCAGGTTGGGAGTTGGAATGAGGGTGGCTCCTTATTCCTTAAAACGGACTCTTTGTAGCCCAATGCCAAACCCGCTGCCTTGCAGTAAGGTTTATGAACCAAAGGCTTTGGTTGAGAACCCTAATCGTTCTCCTGTCTAGGCCTGGGCAACCTGACAGTATCCTGTCCACGCAATACAATGAATCGCACTCCAAACAAATTTCTGATGTTCTGGCCACCGCAGAGGATAATCAACGGTGCCCTATCTGCTGCATCGGGCAGGGTGGATAGGGGTTTGGATGCTACTACTCAAGCCTTCCCATCTTCTTATGCCCCTTCTTGCGTTTTTCACCCTTATCGTCCCGTTCCAGCTTCACTTTTATCCCCCCTGTTTTCAACCCCCCAATTCTCGGCCCTCCCCCACCTTGCTTCAATAGTCGCTTGTCTCTTAGTTTCAACTCACAGGTGAACGCGGAGCGTCATTCCTGCACTGCCAACAGGCCCATGTCCAAGCAAGTGGTCCATTCCAGTTCATCGGCTTCCATTTAGAGCCATCGATCCTCCATCTGCTTGGCATGCCTCAATGTTCGCACATTGTTTCAGATCGGTCAACAGGCAGCACTTGCTCGAACATTAGAGACCCTATCGATCGATATCTGCTGCTTACCGGAGACCCGCCTGCAAGACTCGAGCTCTGTACTCACTCTGCGATCCCCTTCAAGTGACACAAGCAGCACTTTCTCATTGCGCCTATCCGGTGACGATGCAGCTTCGAGCACCGGCCAAGCCGGTGTTGGCATTGCCCTGAGTCCCCGGGCTGAAGCTACTCTGGTTAATTGGATTCCAATCAGTAGCCGGATGTGTGCGGTCCGATTGGTTGGCTCAATCAAAACTTCGAAGTCGCGTGGGACTAACAGGTGGCTATTCGTTATCGCTACCTATGCAACGACAAACTGTAGCGATGACTCGGTAAAAGACGACTTCTATCGTCAACTGAACGAACTCCTTCGCCACAGAAGAAGCTCGGACACTGTAGTGCTGGCCGGGGATCTGAACGCTCAAGTTGGAAAATTATCCACAGATGAGCTGCATCTGGGCGGCCAACATGGTATAGGCTCCCGTAATGATAACGATGAGCGGTTACTTCATTTGTGTGAGGATGCTCGCTTATTTCTTGCGAGCACTAATTTCCGACACAGCACCCGCCGCAGGGTGACTTGGCGCCCACCAGCCTCGAACCAGCTATGGACGCAAATCGATCACATTGCGATAAGTTACCGATGGAGAGGCTGCGTCCAGAACCGTCGCTCGATTTGGAGCACAGGTGTTAACACCGACAATGCACTTGTATGTGCTGACCTGCGGATGCGCTTGGGTGGACGCCCGCGACGCTGTCGTGAGCGCATTGACACCGGCAGACTGGCGAAGCCAGCTGTTCTGAAAGCCTATCAAATTACGCTGTCATCCGAGTTGGATAAACGCTCACTGGTCTCATTTTAACCAAGCCTTACTAGCAGCAGGCAAATCCTCATGTGGTATGTCTGATCGCCAACATGGACATTGGGTCTTTTCACAGTCTCTGGAACTTATCGACGCTCGCCGGCATATTCCGGCTGGAAGCGAACACAATGAAACTCGCAAAGAGCTCCGGGCGAAACTCCGTGAGAGCCTGAAGAGAGACCGCGAAGCCTGGTGGTCTCATCGTGCAACAGAGATGGAAATGGCCGCTGCCCTTGGTAATCATCGTGAGTTATTCCGTCTGATACGGGAAACGGGCAACAGGAGGCCTGGTGTTAGTGAAACTATACGTGACGAGAGTAGACAGCCTATCCACAACTTATCAAAACGCTTGGAACGTTGGGCTGAGCACTTTGAGAGGCAATTTAATCGGTCGGAATTGTTAGATTTCTCGCCGACCAGTGATCGCCCTGCTCCGTGAGCTGTTCCTTTGGATCCACCCTCTCTCTCAGAAGTCGAACGTGAGATCGCACTGACCTGATGACCTTCCTCCAGCCCTCTTCAAATTCGGGGGACCTACTCTTGTGAATGATTTACACGAGTTACTAGTGAGACTGTGGGAGCAGGAAACTGTCCCAACCGACTGGAGCCGCTCCATCATAGTCCCAATTTTCAAAGGAAGCTCACGATCGGAATGTGGCAGCCACAGAGGAATCAGTCTGATCTTCATCGCCTCCAAATTGCTTGCCTCTGTCATCCTTCACAGACTGACTGGCACTCGTGAAAGCCAGATTCGCGAAGAGTAAGCTGGATTTCGCCGAGGTCGTGGCTGCATTGACCACATCTTCACCTTGCGTCAGTTGTTGGAGCACCGTCATATATATTGGCGGCCCACCGTTGTCGTGTTCCTCGATATCAAAGGTGCATTCGTTTCGGTGGATAGACATGCACTTAGGGACTGTCTACTCAGGAAAGGTGCACCTGAGAAATATGTGAATATTCTCCGAGCATTATATGCGCGTAGCTCGGGCAGAGTGAGGGCTTACGGCAAGTTGTTGTCGCTCTCTAATATCTCCAACGGCATGAGACAAGGATGCCCACTGTCACCTTTCCTCTTCAACTTCGCTGTCGACGAAGTCACGGAAATCGCGTTCACAGGACACGACTTAAAAGGTGTGGAGCTACTCCCAGGAGAACGATTTCTTGACTTGGAGTATGCTGATGATATTGCCCTGATATGTGACAGCTCACAAACGTGCCAAGCGGCACTGGACAGATTAGCACTAGCTGTCCGTCGCTTCGGGCTTTGCTTCGCACCCTCGAAGTGCAAAGCGTTTCTCCAAGATTGGTCTGGACCGGGGCGCTTTTGCTAACCTTCGCCACTTGTGGCGCCGGCGCGACAGCACTCTTGCCTTGAAGGGTAGAGTGTACAATGCAGCAATACGTTCGACCCTGCTGTACGGTTGTGAAACCTGGCCGCTTAGCGCAGCGGACCTGAAGAGGCTAGTTACGTTCGACCACCGGTGCCTTCGTAATTTAGCTCACATCTGGTGGGAAGACCGTGTGAGGAACGAGCGTATTCGACGCCTTGTTTACGGTCCAGGAAAAGGAAGTGAACCGCTCAGCACCGTTATTTCACGTACCAGGCTCCGATGGCTCAGCCACGTGTTACGCATGCCAGCCCACCGACTCCCGCGACGTGTGTTGTTTGCGCGCCGGGGGTGTGGATGGAAGAAGAGGAGGGGTGGCCAAACGATGACTTGGTCCAGAGGAATGAAGGCCCTCATCGGTTGGAGCGTCTCGGCTCCCTGGTTGGGGTCCGAAAGACGATGAACACGCTTGGTTGGACACACTTGCTGATATGGCTAGGAGCCGACCTTAGTGGCGTTCGTGC